TTCTCTTTCATATATTTGACATCTTTTTACATTTTGATGACGTCATCATGGTCAAAAAAATTGTTGTTTCTGACCCCCTCATTTCTCTTTCTTTAAAACGTTGATGAGCCCATATCATCTTAACTATTCGTCATTTCTGAATCATATTAAGTGAGCATAATCTTCAGGTCAAGGTTGAATGTTATGTACCCTAATTTTCCGTTCGCGCGACTTAACATGCGCGTACGCGTGCGTCAACATTTACGTATGCATAAATCCATGAATATTTTTAATCACTTATAGCTCCATAGGATGAAAGGTGACCCCCAATTTTTATTACATATTCTGAAAGCACATGAGTTGTAGATACGATTTTATAGATCATATTGGCTGATCGAACATTTTGACGTCATCATATTACCATTTGAATTAAGAAAAAATTGAAATTTTATTTATTTCGTTATTACCTTATATACTCCTTTGAACGTACTCGCTTATCTTGATTGATTGTCTCCCACCTGTGAGTATGTTATAGCTAAATCAATTCACTTTCGGACGTGCCTCTTTATTTTTTATTTTGATGTCGTCATCATGGTCAAAAAGAATGCTTTTTTGGAGCCTTTTCATCTTTCTTCCTTAAAATATATAAACACATTGAAAATAGAGGGCGGCAGACAGTATTTCGACACTATTCTTATACTGTAAAGGCAAAATTCGTGTGGCATTACCAACCAACAGGGGGTTTTAAATTAAACTTGACAAGGTTTAAATTCATGTGCCATTACCGTCGTCAGGCACGTCGTATAAGGTATTCGTACTTGTCCGTTAACATTTTAAAATTGTTAATATCACTTTTCAGATAATTTAAAGCACGTTTCAGGTCATTTTGAATATTCCAAAACTTTCCAAAATTTACGCGCCGTACGCTCATTTCAACGCCCACAGCACGTACTGAAGCTGGAAATTACGTTTCGGTTACACATGTTGGGTTTCTGACACTGTATTAATACTACCGTGCGCACGGACTTTAAGACGTATGTGTACACATTCGTAAGTCCTTAAAATGTTCAAAAGTACTTTTTCTTTAAAATTCCTTTTAAAATGCTCAAAATTACTCTTTAAAAAGAGCATGTTTTAGAATATTATACTTTTCAATCAGAACCGCGTGTGCTTCGTGAGGGTCAAAGTGCGGCGGATCACCTAACTCGTCCTCAGTGACGAGTTCAAATCTAGTTATTATTATTATTATTATTGTTATTATTACTGCTATAATTATTTTTTGTTATTACTGTATAATTTACGTAGTGTTGGTGGTAGTATTTTTAGTAGTAATGGGTAGTGGTAGTGTTATAATTAATTTATTAACTAATAGCCCTAATGAAGTTATTTAAGTTAATATAGAATTTCATATCACCCATATCTTACAATACTATATCATAATCTGCAGGAGCTGCCTCCAGATGAAAAACCTGTAGGTTTGGCAGTGATGCCATCTGATGATGTACTGGTGATGTCTGCCAAAAGTGACCAGCTGCATCGGGATACAGCTTTCCTGCACACATATCAGTTTGCATCAGTTGACATCCACCTTAGAAAACTGACCATTAAAAAAGGTACAGTGACTGTACACCATACACCATAATCATACAAATTCTTTAAACGCTATTGTTTGTCTCGTAATATCAAGTTGCGGTAAACATTTTTCTGGAAGGTCAGTGTTCCTAAGTTGATCTGCAACTACAGATCTTCCATAGTTGTAGACATTTTCTTTTTATTAGGGAAGTACGGAAATAGAATAAAATACTATGAAATAACCATATTAGATGCAGAAATATAACTATCTACTGTATCAAAAGTCCAGCACAATGAGTTTTCCATCAAGACTTCAAACGTAGTTCTCCCAAAGCTGTTTTAGCTGTCAATATTACCAGTAAGAATAACTGGCCAACCAGTAAAAGTTGTGTGTTGGTATACTGTAGTAAAGAAACAGGCCTAGGTAGCTAGATTATAAACAAGATAAACAAAACGATCGGCACAATAGGTAGTCTGGCCAATGCAGCACCTTTGAAAGAATAATTAGTTGGATTAGTTATCTCTTAGCTAATTTGTTATTGTTTAATGAACATGTAGCTGCTCAAAATACCAAGGTCTTTGTTCAGACCCTGTGTATAAGTGTTAAGCCTTAAAAGCCAACGCATCTCATACATTTTCTATCTTTGGTGGATTTATATCCATGTCCTATGACGATAAATTTCAGGTTTTAATTTTGTAGTCTGGCAAGTTTAATAAAATGTAGACTAATGGTAGATCTGTCCTATTCTTGTTCTGTATAAAACTATAAATACATACACATATATGTCACAATATGTTATGGCAACATTAATGTTTTTGTATTATTATTAGTATTTTATGTATATTTTTGACATTATTGTCATCATTTTAATTAAATTATATTTTGTTTTTTTTATTTATTATTTTCTTTTTTTTTTCTATCTGGGAAATTCCAGCTCATTTGAAATTCATCTCATAACCATATGTTTAAAGGTCACAATATGTTATGGCAACATCAATGTTTTTGTATTATTATTAGTATTTTATGTATATTTTGACATTATTATCATCATTTTAATTAAATTATATTTTGTTTTTTATTTATTATTTGTTTTTTGTTTTTTTTTTCTATCCAGAATCTCTTTTAGATGTTAAATCATTTAGGAAAGATGTTGAGTTACCTTGCTCTGACCTATGCTTGCATGTACCACTACATGCAGAAAACATTAGCTCTGATATACAGTGTTTGCATCTACCTGCACAAGACATTCGTAAACTTGAAGCAGGCAACACCAAGAAAATTATTGAAGAGATGAATGTTAAAGAAGAAATCAATGCGAAGGAATTGATTAGTATTCAAGAAATTCCACCTCAAAAAGATGTTGGAGTGCAGTGTGAATCCAACAATTATCCCCTTGCAGAATCTGCCCGTAAGACATTTTTTATATGTATTATTTGGAACTATGAGAGATGAATTAGGTAAATAAGTTATAGACCCAAAAAATATTGATATATTTTGGCAATGGAAAATCATAGAGAATTTTCATTTCTGATTGTTCAGAACAAACATGTTTCTATTTTCTCTAATGCAACATTTTGTCCAAATTTGACCGGAAATGGCAATTCTGACCTTTGACCCTATATAGGCATATCCATATTTCCAAAACTGTTGGTCGTAGATTCGTAGAGACCTAATTTTGGCCTCAAATTTTTTAGTGTGTGTTTCTATTTGCATTAATGAATGTTTTGTCCAAAAGTGAATGGAAATGACATTTCTGACCTTTGACCATAGGTACTCTGCTCATGCTAAATTATAAATGAACTGAAACTGTTATAATTTGTGTAGTGATAGGTGGATTAGCCATGCTTACGACACACAATACACAGATTGTATCAACAATATTAATGGACTATAATATGTAGAAGTGTTTATTACACTGATTGGTACATCATATATAAAGTGTTGATGAATATTCGTAAGTCATTTGGATATATCATGTTGGAATGCATGATAGAGACTTCTGGTTTTGGTCTGCATCTTAGCATCAATCAATTCGTTTCTTCACCTTTATACAGGTGACTGTTAGTTTCTCAGTATAATATAATATATCAGTAAAATAGGAATATCAGAGCATATCCTAACACATATCCAAACAGAATGCAAGTGTCGTCTCATGACCAATGATACAACAAACTATGGCTGCTACAGTCTTTATTTGTAATTTTCCTTTAATCTCTACAGCTTCTATTGAACTTCAATGGTTTTCTGGAAAAACGTGGGTTTATAAATCATTTGTACTTGAATCAAAATGTTACCTGAGACTTTGTGATGTGAAAAATGCATACAGGATTTCTGAAGTTGAGATTAAAATTGGTAAGAACAATTACTTATTGCAAATAAAATATTATTATCATTTTTATCAACAGCAGCAGCAGCATCATTATTGTCATTGCCATAATCATCATCATCATCATTGTGTCATTACTTCAACATTATGTGGATGATTGATGATTTCCAAGGATTCTTTCATACCTAAAACAATCTGCTATATGTGTCAAATCAAAGAATTTGTTGAAGCCACTATTCAAGCAGAAAAACCACTAAACCACGACACCACTTCTTGTGTGGCTCAGTGGCGGCGCCAGCGGGGGGACAGGGGGGCTTAAGTCCCCCACCAGACAGGTCAAGCCACCATGTTTGTTACAGTATCAGAGTGCCATTTCCGGCCATCCAGAGGCTGATATTCTTTAAGGGAATCCCCCTCGCAGCCCCTTCCCCCAGCTCGAGCCTACGAGCTCAAGTCCCCCTGTCGGACAACTTAGGCCCCCCCCCCCAGAAAATATATCCTAGAGCCGCCACTGGTGTGGCTTCTTATTGATGCATTGAGACATCAAAATCGTTATTGCAACCATCCATAATCCACAATCATTAATATGTCAATCATGTCCAGTAGAGAAAAATCAAATTTAAAATATTTTAGCCTAACAAAGATGGTTTATTTGTATCTTTTACTCTTATTTACTGTACATTGATTTTCATTTGCTTTCTAGGTGGCAGATGGTTTTACCTTCCTGAAGATAAAGATGGCTTTGCTAAGATGAGATTCAAACCCGGATGTATTTATCAGATACAAGATTGTCATTATTTTATTCCAAATAAGTGAGTGTCACCAACTGTACCGAGGTCAATTCTACAGACATTCTCCTGGATTCAGAAGTGTAAACTAAGGATATTTAATCGGTTGAATAATAAAGATAGGCATATATAGCACTTTTATGCCATCAAGGCCTCTGACTCGCTTCTAATTACTACCCCTTTCATTGGATCCTATTGGTTGTGGTGGTGTAACATGGCATAGGATAAACTCTAAATTGAAGCCCAGTGTGCATAATTTGGCTCATGTACACTTTAAACAACCCTCTATACACATTACTGCTCAGTGCACCCTCCGATTTGAGACCTCTCTAATTCCAAGACCCCTGTAATTCGAGACCACTTTTCCAAAGACCCAAATAACAATCTTCAACACAAAGCTAGCCCTCTAATTGGAGACCAACCCCGAGACCACCCTAAATTTTCAGGTCTCAAATTGGAGGGTGAAGTGTATACAAACATACATTACGTACTACTGTATACATTTTTCGAGACGAGTAGTGGTTTATCCCTATTTATACAGCCCCTGTGAGTTAGCAACAAACTGGAATGGTTTGTAGTTTTTCATGTTGCTCAGACATAAAGTGGATTGTATTGGACTATTCGGTGTAAACAATAATAAAATCTGGTTTTTTTTTTTCTGTTATATTTTGATTAAAGACTTTGTCCACTTGTTTTTAAATGTAGAATCGATTATGCTGCAATAAGAAGTGATCCTATCCTGTCAAGAGTATATCTTGAGTATTGTTTAAATAGATTTAAATATAATTATGACTTCAGTTGATAATGATATAGCTTGTGACCTTCAATATTGAAGTATATTCCACAGTGTGTTTTTTTCTAGTTTTATATAATACATGCATTTGCTATAAAAAAAAAATTAAAAAAAAAAAAAAGTTTATATTTCACATTCAGGGAAAATTTGGTTCATTTATATAACTCACTTGTTCATCCCATCATTTGATTATTAAAGGTAAGGTACATCTACAGAAGTGTGCATATTGTCATGGCATTAATTTTGTATGCGCTTATACTATTAATTCCTTCCCAGATTATCAAATTTTCTTTAAAAAAAACTGTTGTATGTCCATATAAAGTCATGATGTGCCTATATATGGTCATGATGTGATGTCATCATGACCATATTTAGACATGTCACATGTTTTTGTCTATAAAATTTGATAGTCTGGACAGGGCTTTAGTCTGTTCATTGTATCAAATGCATAGTAATGCAGCAGTAATCAGCGCATAGTGTGGACACACCTTATTATATAGATAACTATTTAATTTATGTAAATGTGCGTTGAATCTAGGTCTGATTGTGAGACATAGCTTGGGACATAGCAATGGACTGACAGGGGTATACAATCGTCATAAAGCCATTTACAGTATTATGGTTCAATCAATCCAGACGGCTGTTTATAGCAACATGCCCTGTGTGAAAAACATTTTTAAATGTGAGGTACTGGCAATATTCGAAACTTAATAAGGTTTTAATTATAACAAATAAATGTATTAGCAACATTGGAATGATCATCAAAATAGTTATTGCAAATCACAGGGGCAGCTATATCACATCGTATCATTATCAAGAATGTCCTAAATTGTCCGTGCGAAAGAAAAGGGTTTGGAGGCCACTATTTAATTAAATGTTCTGTATAATGTGGGCCCATATGCATACTCAAGTCTCCATTTCCAACAGTTATTAATATACTGTACCAGATAACTATAAAGGTAAAACATGGCATTTTTGTTTTGTTATTTTTAAAGAGATGTTTCATTAAAGCAAATTGAAATATGTCTAGAAAATACAATTTTGTTGTGCGTGCATTTATTTTAGGTTTTGTTGCAAAGTGCATTTTTAATTGTTCGCTTTGTGCAGTCATGCATGAAAGTGGCAATAAGGCATCATACATAATGCAGTCAAAGCTTGTACTATTCATAACTGATAATTATATAATTAATGAATAAATCATCTTTCCTATAGCTAGACTTACTTCTAAACATTGAAACATTAAATTCAACTACTCATATATAATTACTAGAAAAAAGTTAAACCCATAAAGTTATACTGTACATCATTCTATAGCTAATTATTTATAGAATAGTATTATATAACAATAAACATAAACACATTTTATTATTTTTGCCACCTTGTTCAGGTTTTGTGGGGATAAGTCACTTGTCGATAAATAGTCCCTCTACTATCTGGGAAATTCCCACCTATTTAACATACATCTCATATCAATATGCTAAAGGGTCACAATATGATAACATTAATATACATATATTCGCATTATCATTTTATTTATATTTTTTATATTATAACAATTCAATTAATATATTTTGTATTATATTATATATCCAGAAAAATATTCAGATGTTAGATAATTTAAGACAGATGTTGAGTTTCCTTGCTCTAGTGACCTGTGCTTGCATCTACCACTACATACGGGAAACATTAGCTCTGACTGGCACTGCTTGCATCTACCTACTACCTACATAAAACATTCGTACAAATAAACTTGAAGCAGACAACCTCAGGAAAATTATTGAAGAGGTGAATCATTAAAGAAGAAATGATTGCGAAGAAAGAGTTTACTATTCAAGAAATGCCTCGTCAAAAAGACGTTGGAGTGCAGACGTGTGAATCTAAAGATTATCCCGTTCCACCTAATATCCGTAAGACATTTTTTTATAAAAGTAGGCCTATATTGGAATATAAGAGAGCAGGGGCGCCGGTGTGGTTTGGGGGAAATTGTTGGGGAGAGCTGCCTCCCCCCTCCCCCAACCCGGTCGGGGAGAAAAACAGAATTTGTCAGGGAGAAAAAAAATCACATTTTTTTACATGTCAGCAGACTCTAAAATCGATTAAATAACCATTTGTCATATATATCTCGGGGATCACCCCATTAATCACTTCCCTCGCCCTGTCCCCTCCCCCGTCGGGAAAATCCTGGGCTCGAGCAACGGAATCCTTCACAGTCTCAACATATGCAAGAAATACTTGAGTGAAGCCTCCCATGGCTCACGCT